TATGAATGAATTTCACTAAGGTTTATCAATGTTTTTCATTTCACTAGTGTTTGTAAGAGGTTTTCAGTAATGCATATGAATGAATTTCACTAAGGTTTATCAATGTTTTTCGTTTCACTAGTGTTTGTAAGAGCCTTTTCAATAATTATTGCCTATACGGCCCCTCATACAGATGGGGTTTACTTATGCCCCCCATTACGATCTGGCAGGAGTTGGGGAAAAGACTTGCATTCAGAACCCTTCTGCATTAACTACTACTGACAAAAATAACAAAACGGACAAAATGGAGAAATTCCCAAACCTTTGAACGCTTTTGCTGTTTATTTTGCTCTGCTGTTCTTTTGATCTTCTGATCTTCTCTGTTTTATAGCATCTCTTTAGTCTATGTCTCCTTCCCTAAAGTTTGTTTATTGTTGCTTTCTTTGTGAATTTCAAAGCAATATAATTGATGCTACTATTTGAGTATACAATGGGAAGGGCCATACACTCTGTTTAGACTTTGGATTATTTTTAGATTCGACCATAGATTAAGTTTTCCTAGACCTAACCCTCCAAATTATCACTAAAGTATCAGAAAAAAATGTCTGGAAATTTGCACTGTAACATTTATTCTAAATCAGGAGCAAAGTGTTTTTTGTTTGCCTTTGAAGTCATGACATAAGAGAAGTATCAACAGACTGTATTGTGACGTGCATGCGAGCGAAACAGATTGTCGATAAATAAATACATTTGGCGACTCGGTTCTGTCCATCTGTTGTTGCATGGATGAATCATCCATAATACGATCTATATCATGCATTTAGAAAATAGACAGGGTGAATTTCTATTTCATGTTGACTTTAACAAGTTGAAGTTTATAATTAATATTAAAATGTTTCTGATGACCTGTGTATCAGAACCTGTGGTGTTATGAAAATAGACTGATTTATGAAATTACACCTTATGATCTTTGAAGAAACAGTGTCAAAAATGTGTTGAATGTAGTGTTAATGAAACTGCTATTTACACAGCTTAATAGTTGAATTATCATGCTAAATTTGCACCTAACAAACAAGAAACCTAAAAAAATGATGTAAGCAGGGAAAAAAGAACAAAGTGAGAATTAGTAAGACAGAGTGGGTGGCAATTCATTTGTTATGAGTAATCCAATGTACATGGGTCCGTTCTTGTGAGGCCAGCATAATATTGGTTTTGACTCCATTGTGCCATATTAACATCCAATTACACACAAAGAATAAGTATATGACACCATTTTAGGTTCATTGTTAAATGCATAATAGAACTGTAAGCAATCCAGCTATCCAAAGCATTTTAATTGTGGAATAGATGCAGCTGTTGAATCAGCTTCTTCTCTTGTTTACAGTGATACAATAAATACTGCTACCAAATTTCGTTTTCCTATTTATCACAGAAATTAATCCAATTAGTCACACACAAGACCTTGTGTTTAATGACTGATAATAGATCCCCATTGAATTGTAAGTAGTCATTAGGCAGACCCTAATGAGGATTATGGGTCATTTCTGAGCACGAGCTGCAGGGGTGGAGAGCATTGTGCCGTTGCTGCTTGACTGCCATTACTCAGCACAGCAGGGTGATTCTGCATGGGCCTTGATAGAAAAATATTATTTCCTGGGTTAATTTATCAAATGGGCAGTTTCATTGAGCTAAATCTCATCTCAAGAACTTTGTTTCATTCATCTAAGAACAGTAAGCCCTTGAAGAATGTCTTTGGAAAACATTAAAGCTAAAAATCTTTAAAATAGGATACTTAGATACTAATTAATCTGTACTACTCTTCAATGATATACAAATAAAGGATAATTGCTTACATGAGGGTCTGACTGTTAGAATGACATGTAGTTAAGGATGGTTACTGACAGAGCTCAGATAATGTGTATGTGCACACTCAGTCTCGCCAAGTACACAATTTTTTTAAACATGTCCCTCACCTCCTCTCTCTGCTTCTTCTGAATATCATTGCCCGTGTCATTATTTTTAGTGATACTAAAACTTTACCTTTAACCCTCATATAAGGACATTTTAATATCTCAATAACTATATTTAAAAGGATAGTTTTCCCAAAAATTACAATTCTGTCATTATTTGCTCACCCTCATGTGATTCCAAACTTGTATGACTTTCTTTTAGATATTTTGCAGCACGCTGGGGTCCAATGAACATCAGATTGTATTGACTTTTATTATATGTACAAAAATAAAGTCATATAGGTTTGGAACAACATGAAGATGAATGAATGATAACAAAATGTACATTTTTGACTGCACACTTTAACATTAAAGTATAACACTGAAACTTCAGGATGTTTGCTAAACTTATGGAACTGAATTTAAAAACAAATTTTCAACTTGCTTGACATGCTTTAACTGTCCTGTGTTATTATTTCTTATAGGGGCGTCAAGTCAGTCTAAATAGAATATGAAGGTTAAGCAAGCTTATAACTCAAATACACCAACTCTGTTCCAAACCTAACTCAGCGATAAATCCACTGGGACGGATAGAGCGAATTCATCGGAAACAGGTGAGTAACATCTTTCTAGGCATCCCCAAACTGACACACGTACATATACCTTGTTAGGACTGACTTCCATGTTATTTTGCAATATATAGAGAAAATGTTAGATGGCAGAAAGATACCCTGGGTAGTCTATTTCCCCTACACAGCATGTTTATATTATGTTCTACTTGCTAGTCATCTTGTGCCATTAACAAACAAATGAAGTTATTGTTAGAAAACAGGAAGGACTATTCATTTCCTTTGCCTGTGTGAATGACAGGCAGATTGTAAAAATACTATGTGACCTTCTACAATCAGTGACTGTTCTTCCAGTGACGTAATTTCAGAGATGTGATATAGTGAAACAGAACTGAGTTATGTGCTTTTTTTGGCCAATGCTTTTGTATCATACGGTCTGGCACACCCACTGAGGATTTAGCAGGAAGAAAATCACTACATTCCCACACATCCTCAACCCAAGACATTGCTCGGGAAGCACACATTACACTTAAAATTAGGTATAATTATCTAGGATGATCAATTTTTCTTGTCTATATTTCAGTGTTTCACTGAACAAAATTTCAAGTACAGAAACTGTAATTAAAAGTTTAAAAACACTGCATAGTTTTCTTTTCATAAATAAAATATAGATTCATCAATTAAAGTTATTAAATATATTCAGTCAAGATCAGTGAATGATTTTCTTTTGTTCTTTGATTAACATTAATGACA